ATTAATTAATTAATTAATTAAGATTTAATTTTTAAAAACAGGTTTATTGGTGCACAGGTGGAGAGGGGAAGACAGGCAGAGCCTTGGGGCTTGTTGTCTAGTCTGCCTAACCTTTGGAGTGAACTTCAGGCCAATGAGAAACCTGTTCCAAAAAAAAAACAAGGTGAATATCACCTAAGGAATAACACCTGAGGTTAATTTCGGGCCACCACATGTACAGGCACACATATATACACCACACACACATATATACATGTGCATTCTCTCTCACCCCTTTCTCTGTCTCTCTCTCTCTCTCTGTCACACAGGCACATGTCACACAGCAATACATTAGTCATTAAAGGCAATTTTAAACTTACCAAACATTCTCAGGGCCTGGGGAACATTCCAGTGACTACACAACACAAGGACTCCACAAGTGCTTTGTCTTAGACGATGAGGACATCAAGGTATATAAAGTAATAGATTATAGCCTGTGAGTGAAATGTTAACCTTAAGGTTTTATTGACAATGGAAAGACAGGGACAGACAAATGGTCTGACAAGTGGGCAGATGGATAGACAAGGGTGGGTAGAAAAAAGTAATGAAAGTGGGAAATCTCCATCAGTCTAGGCAAGGATCAATAGGTCACAACTCTATGGACAGAAACATAGCAAGCAGAAAGCTATTTACATAATTATAAGGTGACTTCCTCAGAACACTAGTTAGTTAACGGAAAACAGTGACCATACAGTGAAGAGACAATACAATTTCTTGATTGAATGGTGGAAATGAAGACAATAGGGGACTGGTGGGCATTAGAACAGAACAGCTCAGGAGAATGAATGTTCATGAGAGTAGTGCACATATCCACAGCCATACACAGAAAAAAGAAAGAGTGACTAGAGTAAAGCATTGAGAAACTGTGGATCTGGGTAAATTCATGCTCTCTCTCTCTCTCTCTCTCTCTCTCTCTCTCTCTCTCTCTCTCTCTCTCTCTCTCTCTCTCTCTCTGTTTTTTTTCTACATGCTTCTTCTATCCTGGCACTGGCTCTGGAGACCAGGCTGACCTCGAACTCAGAGAAATCCACCTGCCTCTGCCTCCTGAGTGCTGGGATTAAAGGCATGCGCCACCAACGCCCGGTCAATTCATGTTTTCTTTATAGCATTCTTGCAACTTCCTTGTAAGCTTGAAATTATTAAAAATAGTAAGTTCCAACACTATACTGTATCCTAAGGAAATGCTCATAAGTGGTGTGCTAGAAAAGCAAAAAGTAGTTGTAACAAAAAGCAACATATTCATGTCAAGAGCATGTGAAATGTTTGATTGATTGGAACTGTGTAATATAATGTGAGTATGAGAGAGCAAAAATGAGTCCACACACAGGTGAAGAATAACAACAGCCTTTGTATTACAGGGGCACTGTGACATCTATCCTTACTTTCCTGAGAGTTTGTTTCTCTACGTTACCTCCAACCATGGGCAGTGGGATGGGCTGAGGGAATCCGCACACATGGCAAGGAGAGCATCCCTCCATACTCAGGGAATGAAATACACAAATGAAGAGGCTTCTGCTTCCTATAAACCCCCTCAAGCTCATTCCTCAAAGAATAGGGGTATAAAACCCTTACCGCAGCCAATAATTCCAACCCCACTTCAGTCCCTACTGTCAGAAGAGAACACTTTTAAGCCTAGGCAATTATATGTGAGCATTAGCACTAAGTACATAACCACTAAAACAAAGTGTTTCTCTCCTGCTCTACCAGGAGCTTGCAGGAGTGAAGTCACTGCCAAAGAGGACCACAGAGAGGAACACAAAACCAGCACAAATCAGGAGTCATCCTGCTAAGAAAGCATAGAGGCAAAAGGTGTGCAAGGCAGCATACAGGTGTGCGACTCTAGAACTCAGAAGGAAAATTCAGGATGATCATGAGTTCAAGGTCAGTCTAGACTACTTAGCAAGATCCTGCTGAGGAGGATGGGACAGGCTGCCAGCTAATGGAACAACTATTAAAGGAGAAAGCTTTCACTATCTTATTCCTAGCACCTGGAGGTGCTACCCTAAGGCATATCCTCTAAGCCTTCTCCAAGGCCTTTATGGTATGAACTGTGAGTCCTCCCTAAAAACTGCATTCAAGTAGCAGCCCCTGGTGTTTCTTCCCTTGAATGCATTGCAAGGAGATGATGGGCCTTCTTCCTAACTCTCACCTATTTTTTGACTTTCCATAAAAATCCAAGTATTGGGATGGCAGAAGTTGAGAAGCAAAGGAAAAGGGCCCAAGCCATGATTGCTCTCAACTGAAAGTAGAATCACCAAATACTAGGGCATTCAATAAGGTGTGGTATGCAGGACCTTCCCAATGCCCATGTGGTTGGGGTGGAGTGCACAAGCACACTAAGACATCAAGGTTCAAAAGGAGGGGACATTAAGAAGAAAGGAACTACCTCCTACAGAGCCATAGGGAAATGTAGCATTGAAGAAAAACCCTAGCACAAAGGAAACAGAACAAAGCACTTGGAGGTGAAAAGACTGTGGACACAGATCTGCAGGGACCTCCAGAAACAACATCTGCCCAAGGCTGTGAGTGCCCCCCACCCTGACAGTCCGAGCACTTACGTTTCTCCTGCACATAGAGGTACCCTTCCATGGTGTAGGGGCTGATGGTCTTGTGCTCAAGGGGGTTTTCCTTCATCTTCTTCATCAGCGATTCCACTTCAGACCTGGTTCCTTCGAAGCGGTTTCTTGTCTGGAATGAAAGGAGTTTTGCTCAATCAATCAAATGCAGAAAAAAAAAATGAAATCTCTTAATAATTCATAAGATCAGCCTAAACAGAAACCTTAGATATAAAAGCAAATAAGGGGCATTCAGTGGTCTAGGAAATGGGCAAGTATTCACTTGTAAAAGTACATATTTGCCTTACAGTCCCATATCTGA